CTTTTCTCGTAACCCGTCAATAGGCTCGCGCGGGGAACGGTGCACGCGCGGCAACGACACACTCTAATAAATACCGATTTCAGCTGTCCGAACCGGCCCGGGGATCTCCGCGACTTGCCGCGCGGGAGATTATATAAATACCAGTTTTAATCTCGCCGGGGTAATTCCGCCGGGGAGCGGCGTGTAACGCGTCGGAGAGCTCCCGCGAAAAAAGCAACGGTTACGCGTTACAATGCACCTTCGTGCGCCTCGTTTTTCCATCGAACCCGGGCGACCGCGATGTTTGCACCGTGTTCTTAGCGCGGACAGGACCGCGGAAAAAGTTACAGCGGTTCCCGGCTGTTCGGCGGCGGAACGTTCGGGAACACCGGTGCCATCGATTGGCCGGGTTCCCGTGCTCGCGAACATTGTTTGGGAACCGGAATATATGAATATATACGCCGGCAAAAAAAGGGATATTGAAGCTTTCATAAACTGAAAGCACGATAGTTTCAACTGAACGGGAATTGAAAGCTTCCTACAATATTCGGAATAACGGCGAGGCAAGGTAAACTACTGCGTTAGAGATTAAATTAAAATTTCTACGAAAAATAGAGGGAGAGAGAGAGATAGAGGAAGAGAGAGAGGAAGAGTGGAAGAGAGGAAACGGGATAGATGGAAGAATTAATTACACGATCGTACGAGTTCTCGACGAGGTGAAATTCGAACTGTAAAAACCGGCTGCGTGTACACTATCGGTGTATTCTACCGGCGAGATATTGGAGCAAGACAAGCGAGCTTTGCCGGGCAATATGGGCACACATGCGAGAGCGCATCCCTTTTCCCGTTCGTGTAACGTTGCCGCGGTGAATCACTGCAGACCGACAATTAATTGGGTCAAAATCATTATCAGCCCTTCCCAGGGGTTTAATGATCTCGACCCTGGCCGTTCAACTTGAATTACCGCCGCCACGGCGCATTCGTTATCGCATCTCTCAGATATCCACGCGCATGCACGCACACGCCGCGGCGGGCCTGCTAGTGCCAGGACGTGTCGCTCGAGAGATAATACGTCAACAAGATCGAGTCGAATTGATACGGGCCCCGTTTGCTCGATGAACCGTTCATATTCGGCTAAACGCTGACTGAAAATCGCTGATCCAGCGATTTTCCATTGTCGGAGGGGTTGCGAAGTTCGAACCGATCGTTCGTGAAACAAGGAACCAGCGGGACCTCGAGTTCTTTTAATCCTTCGAAATTTCGTCGTAAATAAGCGACGGCAGGAATAAATATTTTCTTTGCCCCGCGGCTCGAGGACGAGGGGAACCTTGAAACTGTCTCGACAAGGCGAACGCACTCAACTAAAACGCACTTAACGCGCAGTCAACGAAGCATCCTCCACGTCTGTTATTAATTTTATTGCTTTCGGTCTTAACGTCACTGCGCCCGGCCACTTCATTGTGGAGGCCCCGCATTACGGATTTCTTGAGCGTCTCTCGAAAGTTCAAAGGTTCCGCGTTATATTCACGGGAGGAAAAACTACTCTTTTTCCCGGGGAAACGGGATACATAAATAGCTTTATACTCGGCGCAGTGGAAACGTCTAAAGTGCCCGCTGGAAAGGTCTTACTTTGCGTACTTCGTTCAACGGTATCGTCGAGGATCTCCCGGCGGGATCGCGATTTACTTTTAAACCGTGTCTCACGATGATTACGTGTTTCGCGTGGAGTTACGGGACCCCCGGCCCGGGAACCGGGGAAAAATTGAGTCATTACGGTGCGTACGCGGTCGATGATCGATCATTACCGCAACGACGTTGTTACGGACTTTTTCCGGGTTGCGCGGAAATTACTCGCGTGAATTTCATAGTTTTGATCGAAACGAATTTAATGGAAACGAAATTGACGGGACCGGTATTAGTCTATGGAAATATTGTTCGACGCTCGGTGAAAATTTTAGTCTCGCGCGCGGAGTAAAATTGTATTCGGTGTTCATGATTAACGAGTCGATTGAATAAGAATTTATTCGAGTGATTATTTGTTCCGTACTCGGAGTACTTGTATCGGTCGCCGCGGATATTCTATTGGCTTCGCGAAATGGCACGCTGGATATTCATTCCAGTATACTTACAGCGTTATTCGAATAAATTTCGAATAAATAAAGATGAATCACTCGCGTAAATACGTAGAGTAATTTCCCACGAGTAACAAATTATTATTATCCACGCGAGGCATTCGAATAGCAAGAATTTATTCGAACAGTTAGCTTTGATCTATCGATTCAAATATTGAAACAACAATATTATCGGGTGAAGCTACTTCGATGAATATCGACATAGGTTACACTTGGACGCCGTGAATTCTTGCCAATAAAACCACTGCCGATGATTTCACTGTAACCGATTTTTCCTTCTCCCTGATAGATTGAGCCGTAGGTATTATTTTTCTTCGAGATTCGCTGGAACTTATTTCGTTCTCTCTTGAACGTGTACCGTTCCGTCGGTTTGACATCTTGTAATGGTCGAGTGATCTTGAAAACCCGGCCCCGCCGCCTCCTCCCGAGCAGTTGGCCGAAGTTACGTTTAGATAGCGAGAAAACAATATCCCGCCTCCTATCTTTCGTCGAGTTTCAAGGACTTCGTCTGCGAAGTCGAGGAATCGCACTAATCTAGGACAAAGGCGTCTTACGGAGCACATTGTCCAGACTCGCGGCAGACCTTTATCTTTCCGCGGCTTCCGAGCTCTCCCCCAAACTTTCAATCTTCTCATGCGACTTCGCATATTCGACCGGAGGGAGCGGGGCATTATCTCGGTAAGACGTTTAAGTCGCGATACCCGAGAACAACGGAAATAATAAAGTGTCCCGGCGGTTCGTCTCGCATAATGGATAGATATTGCCAGCTGAAAACTCGATCGAGATCCTCCGGAGACCCGAGGAATACAGATTCCACTTAAATAATCATCGAGTCGCTTCCATTCGACGCAAAAACGCGCGCACTCGTCGACCGTTCTTCGAACAGTGACGGACCTCTCCCGCTCCCCGCACAAAGAAACCCCGTATTTCCTTACCGAGTAAATAACGGCGAGGCCGCGCGAGCGCGGGGACAAGCGCAAAATGGAATTGCATATCCTGCGCGTATAAAATACTATGTTATCATCCTTTCAGTGGCGAAAATTACGAGAATCTCGCGCCGGCGGCCGGGCGCTGCTTCTATTAAGCTCGTCTTGAACGCTTTATGTTGCGTCGCGACGTGATAATGGAGTTCTCGAAAGTCGGATTATCTTGTGTACGCGTTCCGGCGTCTCGAAACGGAAGCGAACGAGAAAAAAAGGAGGAGGCGGAAACCAAAAAAGGGAAAAAGATCCGCGAAAAATACGACGTCGCGGCCGGCTTTATAATGCGAGGACGGCTCGCGTGTGCGTACGAGCGGGGACGAGAGGCTGGCACACCGGGGTAATGTATGGGCTGCGTGGTTTTTATGCGTCTGCGGATGAATCAGTAAAGGCATTTTTCGGAACGCGAAGTGACAATAAATTATGAGCGTCGCGGCCGACGTGTGCGGAGCTGGCCGCGAGATATGCCCGCGATAAATCCGATGGATAATCGTTCAGAATACCGGCGCCGACCCGGAAAAAGAAATTATCGGGTTCTTTCATCTGGCCGTGTTTCCATCGGATTAAGTTCCGGTCGGTCGCGATCGTCGTTACGCCCGATGTTTGCCGTGATTAACGACTCGACGACAGATAATCGTCCGCTTCGCCGCGCCTGCCAGCTAGCCAGCTCGCTCGCACGCACGCTCGCACGCTCGCTCGCTCGCTCACCCTCGGACACCGCGAAATATTTGCGTATAACTAATTGGCTGGTAATTGGCTCGCGAATGGCCTGGCTGTTGATCCCCCGCAGGTGTTCGCTAATTATATCCTCATATTTCGTTAATCCCCTCGCGTCCCGATTAATTCGCCTGATTGTCAAATTCCGCCCTTGCGCCGGGGCGCTGGGTATGTCTGGAACCTTGCTGGTACACGAGTAAATAATTCCGGCGGAGGTGAAAGTGCGAGAAAGTGGGCAACGAAAGCGACGACGTTGAGGATCAATCTTGCTTCGAGCCTCTCGCTATGGTGTTCAGTGGCACGAGTCAATCGTGTAACTTCGGCTGCAGTGCATCTGTTGCCCTGTGCACAGTGGCACAAGTCAATAATAACGCCACATGCAGCCTGGTTATGTTGGATATTACACAGACGCTAGTGTGCAGCAGAGTTGCAGCAGGTCTGATCGCATCTAATTCTACTTAGATGGTAGTACGAGTCAGCAATATTAATCCAGATGGCTGCAATACACTGTCTATTGTTTATTCAGTAGTACGGGTTAATAATATCCCGACATTTGTCTCGTAGATGTTGTGTGGTACACGGTTTAAATAGACTGTGCGCAAAAATATCAGTAGTATAGGTCAATAATAACTCACGGTACGTTTCTTTTAGAAATAAGGTTCCACGATAGCTACGCGAAAATACGGCGTCGTTAGATTCAGACGTTTCGTTCTTCGTTATTAATTCTGTTATTAATCTCGTTTGAAACGAGGAACGTCGTAAATTGAGATATGCAATGTACACAGCTGTAAAACGCTGGCGTTCCCGAGTGCGATGAGTCCTCCACCATTGACCCGGTTACGAATTACACGATGAAGCTAGATTGGGCGTAATAAATTATCCTTGGTCAGCTTTAAACTACTTTAATTCGCCGAATCGATACGGCTGAAGTCTCGCGTGGCGCGAGAGTACTTACGTACGTTCATAACCGTGCAAAGTATCGCAATGAAAATGGTATCGCGGCTTCCGGCCGCTGCCGGAGGATAACATTTCCTTTGCCTCTAATTACTTATACATATTAATTCCCCGGCAATCCGCTTCGCGTAATACGAAAGTTAATTTTCCGGGGCGGAATATTTCAATAGAAATTTCCCGTTAATCAGCTTACGGAAGCTGAAAGTTTGAAACCTAACGCCGGTAATTTTTGTTACAGGACAATCGCCGACCTCTCCAACGCCAAGAACAATAGGTGAGTGAACGTAACACGGCGCATTAAGCTAAAAGTTTCCTTAATACAATGATAATTAAGCTCCAGTTACAACCCATCAAAAAAGTCGTATTACTTTGACCTCTGGTGCGGCGCGCGCGCCGCCGAGCCGCGGCGTCCCAATGAAAACATCGCCGTAATGGCGGCCATAAACGGCTCGGTTCCGTCGTGTTGCGCGCGGCCGGGACTCGCGCTCGGTGTGTTTACAAAAACAAACAACGCTATAACGATCAAGGTATCCCGCCGGGCAAAATTTTATCCCGATAATGGCGGCCAATTTGAACCGCCGCGAGTCGTAAAGAGTTCGCGCGTTTCCCGCGAGAATATAATTTCATCGGATATCGTCTCAGCGCGCTCGGCATCGCCGCGTATTGGTTTCGAATTAAATGATCGTATTCCACGGAGAGAGATTCGATTAGCCGACCGGTCGGGCCACCTGTTCGCTATTACATTTAACAAAAATCACCCGGGGTACGCCGGCGGAGCGCGTATTTTTTTCAGAAGCGGCCGGAAACCGGCTGGCCATTGCACCGGAAAATCGAATATCGCTGATAACGCCACTATTGCCGCTATCAACGTTCAACGATCAAAGCGCTTAGGTCACACTGGCCATGGAAAGTCTGGGAGTCTTTTCACGGGACCATCCGCATTCATAAAAACACCGATGCTTCGCGTTAGCGTTTCGACCAGCGCCGGATATTCACGATCCGGCGCCGCCTTGCGGAACGATTCGGGTACGGTCGGCTTTTCTCTGCGCGAAAAAAAAGAAGAGAAGAATGGGCTTCCATCGCTGGACGCCTAAATACTATGAAGCCGAGGATGCTCGCTGAGAGCGGGATATACGTGCATCGATTCGCGTTGCACTCGGTATAATACCCGGGTTGGTACACACGAAGCGTCTTCTAAAGAACAAGCCTCGCGGTGTACAGATTTACGACGCGGATATTAAACTTATAGGCGCACTCTTCTTGCGAAGGGTTCTCATGGTTTTGTCATCTTGTACCCGGTATAACGGATGACACGAATAATCCTGATCTAGTGCTACAATTGCAAACGTACTTCGTACATCCTGTAGGAAACGATTTAAACTTCCAGCATTTACGTAGATTCCTCCAACACGTGCGAAGATTCAACGTTGCCTGAAAATGTTTGAAAATCTGTTCCAATCTCCTTAAACCATCGCACACTCCATTGCTCGCGATACGCTTCTCCCCGGCAGACATCGGATTCCGAACTCAGGAGCGATCTATCGCATTAATTCGGGTACACAAGGCGAGCGTTCGAAGGCGGAACGAGCATTCGGCAGTCTGGGGTATAGGTGTCAACGTTATAGACGCCTCTTTTCGCCGCGCGTCTCGCTTCTCCGCTCCAGCGGAGAAGCTCGCGTCATCTTTCTCCTTCCCGTCTGGCCGGGGTGCGTCTTCCTTCCTTCCTTCCTTCCTTCCACAGGCCGCAGTGCCCTGGGCTACGTCGCAGCTTACAGTCCTGCTGTTTGTCTTGAGCCGTGAGCTTTTGTGTTTGCGCAAGCTCTGCCGTGGCAGCGACCGCCGCCTATCCACGTCCACAGCTGGTCCAGCCAGCCAGGCGTGTTTCGCGGCGGCCAGACTCATTCTCCTCTCTCGCCGCTCTTTTTCTATCTCTCCTTTCCTTCCTCGCTCTCGGCGCCCCGACCCCGGCCCTCCTCTATTTATTTAGTTTTTGCTCGCAGTTTGCGGACCCCGTACACCCAAGATGCTTAATTACCGTGAGCCCGCGCATCGTTGGCCGCCATTTAAAAATGTTTCCTCAAGGAGAAACTGCGTCAGGATTTTTGCCCCGCGGCCAAGGCGGTCGCCGTGTGTCCGCGCCCTTCGCCCCTCGACCCCCTCGCCCTACCCGGGGCATGGTTTTACCGCAGTAAATCATATTGTCGGCGGACCGTTCCGCTGTTCCAGCATTTCGGGAATAAAGACCACGGTGAATATCGATTTTGTAAGCAAACGCGGCGGCGACGACGGCGTCGCGCGACCGAGGCGAAATCCGCTCGTTTCGCGAACGATCCGACTGGATGCCGATGACACGATCATCGTGCCGGCGTATTGTCGCCGGGATTATTCTTTCTCGTTGCCTCCGCCGTCGAGATGTATTTTTATGAATTTCTAGATCTCCGAATCGCTGCGGCTCTCCTCTCGGAACTGCTATTGGATTTGGTTACCGGGATTCTTGCGGAATATTTAGAGGAACTACTCGGAATACAGGGGACATTCTTGTTTTCCATCTGGTTAATGCTTTCTCCAATCAGAGCACAAATGTATTCGGAATGGAATATCTATTGAATGCAATCGCTTTGTCTTCTCGATACTATCAGCGTTCGACGTTTAAAATTCCGAGCGCCCCGCGTGAAGTAATCGGGGAACTGCGTTCGACCGTTTCGACTGCGAGACGACCTCGTAATTCTAACGGTTACGGCTAATTCAATTATCAAATTCTTACACTTTTACGCACGAGCCGTTCAAGCCACGCCGAATCGCGCGCTACCGACGGACGTCTCTTCGAAAATTGAACAATTCCGCCGGCACTCGCGATCCCCCGCTCTCGCTAATGACATTAAATCTTCCCTTTACGGCTTAAACGTTTAAGTGCCACCGGTAGAATCCGGCCAGAATATATTTGTAAAGTTCCGGGCATCGCGCTGCTCACCTCCCTTTATCTTTCTATCTGGCGAGTTTACGTTGTCGTATATATTTCTTAAAAGTTCCAGTCGCTTACTATTTCCCGTTTACCCCGGCTAAATTGTTCTGGCAACGGACCCGCGCGTTTCCCGGGGTATTAAGTTCCGAAATTCGAGGCATTCTCAGCTGCGAAATAGAGATCAGGCTCAGGTAACGTGACTATTTAATCACTTACCGTTTCGAAGTTCCGCGAGCAGTCAAAGTTCAGGTCGGACGGATCTTCGGTGGCGAGCAATTAGCCGCCGTTCCCGCAGTCCTGTCCATTAACTTCGTGAACTGCAAATAAAGGACGGTCCTTCTCATCCGCGCTCCCTCTACCCACCGCCGGCGAGCTTGCGTGATATCTGCATCGCAAAAAGAATAGTTGATAACTGGTTACCTGCATCCGTTCCATCGACACGGCCGACAATACCGCGCTCGCCGGAATGGAATCCTTAAAAACTTTTTTCCTCCGCTCCGAAACTCCGCCCTGTCCGCTGGCCCCGAAACGGCGCGGCAAGCCGGTCGCATATTTTTTCTCGGTCACGCGATATCACGGCTAGACCACTTTTTACCATCGTTAAAGAATAATCGTCCGACCCGGAACGGAATCCTCGGCCGGACGAAACGAAGGGGCCAGATCGGACGCGATAACAACGCCGGCCTGATATCTTTTTGGCTCGCCCCGGACTCCAGCCCCGGCCAGTCGTTACCCATTTTCGGACAGTAACGTTCAGCGCGACCATCGGGGTCCGCGCCAGCCGCGAGCCGCGCCTCCACAAATTTTGCAAAACACCGATATAAATCGTTTGATAACGCGTCTGGCTCCGGGCGTCAATATACCGCGCGCCGGCCGCAGGGGCGAGGAACGCCGGGAGAAAAAGGGGTGGCCAACGCGAGCGGGAAAAAAGCGGCCGGGGGATGGGCCGGAGGGGGGTACCGAGCCCACGGAAATTTGGCGAATCGCCAGCTGCGAGGCGACGCTGCTGGAAGGTGCGCATAAACAACGCCGCGTATGCCGCTCGATCACCGACGCGCCGGGCTACGCAGCTGATATCGCTAATTGCAAAAACTGCCCCATCGACGGACGCAGCCGCTGCGAACTTTTTAACGCGGCGCAGCGGGCAAAAAATTCGAGAGTATAAGATTCGTCGCGTTTACAGTGGAACTGTTGCTGGTGAATTATCGTGTTAGCTCGTTAAGAGCTGTTTTTCTTGAATATTTTCGGTAGACCTTGAACACTTTCGTAAATCCAAAATTGGGAGATTCGGAAGAAAAGACTGAAATTAATGAAGAACTCGATCACTTCGGACAAGAATCTGGTTGTAGGTATAACTAAGAAAAATTTACTAATCGGTAGGAGAGGGAAAAACCAAGGTAAGGTAGAAGCTGTTGGAATCCCGCTGTTGGTCATCAGGTGGAAGGTCATGGGATCAGAATCTGATCCCGAATCTAAGAAACAGTCCCAGCTGGAATTTCGCCGGATGGAAAAAGGTGGGGGACGGTGCTCGTTAAGAGTGGACGAGTTCCGAGGGTCAGCCCGGTCTTAGAGGAAGGCGATTGCATAAGGACGAGCAGCTGCGAGAGCGTCGGAGGATTCTTAAGGGAATCCCGGGTCGGCGGCGTCGCCGGGATAACGTCGTGGAACAAAGAGCGGAATAAGCTGAAATAATTGGCAATTACAAAACCGAGCCGGATATTAACATTATCTCGTGGGCGCCGAGACTGGCCGTTTTCGACGGTGGCTCGCGGCTTTCTTTCGCAGAGATGTTTTCCACGTTTCCACGGCAGCCGCCGGGAATCCCGGCGCCGCGGCGGTTACCTTCCTCCCCTGATAACCGGCGGGACCGTGTCCGAGATAAAGGACATTGTCCTGCAGCCGGCAGAAACGCGGCGCACACCTTCGAACAATTATCGCGCCGAACTGGGCGATCGTCGCGCGGACGACGCGCGTGATTCTTCGCCCGCCGCGCGGAGATTTCCTCGTTAACGCGCGCCGGGCGGATATTAACGAGACATCGGGGCACGGCGAGGATTTTCTATCGCGCGACGGGAACTCCGCTTAATGTAAACACTTTCGAGATAAACGGCGCCCGAGATGCGAGGACGAGGTGGATTTGAACTAAGCCGCGGGACAGACGTCCTTGCGCGAACTCGCGCGTGTACTTTCTTCCCTTTATGAAAATCACGCGGCGAACGCGGCACACGGAGCGGGAAGAAGAAGACGCGGCAGGGCGAGTTGTTCTTTTAATTTCGCGCCGCGGCGTGCTGAATTTAAGCGATACCGTAATT